TATAGATACATACATGCAAACATACATACATGCATTCAAAGGGACACAGTCGAATATTGTCAGTTGTGGGAAAGCAGTTATCCCTTATTGTGGAGTTACTAACAAAATAGATGAACGCATATAGTGTTGATAATAAGTAACGAGCATGATGCAGCTATAAAAATACAAACGAACGAGAGGAGTGCCAATTGGGCGCCGGGTATCGGAGTTGCGGTAATGGTACCGGATGAGGGCTCCAGGCCAGCAGCTATGAGTGCCGAGTCGCCATTGCACATGCTCCGATCGCATACACAACGCGATGTCCATTTGGATCCGAATGCGCTCTGCTGGCAGCCACTTTCTTCATATTCTTCGCTACAGCCTTTCTGTACCGTTCGCCTTTCTGTAAAGAAATTGCTCGATGCAACAACAGAAAACAACAGGCATCAAAGTGAGCAAAAGCACTAGTGACTTCCAGAATCATCGACCCGAGGGCTGACCCATGATCAAATAATAGACCAACAGGACTGTATACAGGCATCATGTGTAAGGTGATATTTTATGGTGCAAACTGCCGTTATTCTTTAGATATAGTAGGGTGATATTTTTCGATGCAGTCTCTGTGTGTTTCATCGCTTAACTGTAAACACAGGCCGGACTATGCATGCGGGTAGAAATGGGGATCGTCAGTACAGCCTCCTGCGCTCGAATCCCCCGCTCGATCCAACTTTGTTGCATGCAGGATCTAGTGCTACCTGAGTCCCATTGCTTCGTGGTTCCTGATTTTAACAGCACCACTACCTCTGTTTTCTATCGACTCCTTTGATTTCGAAAACACGAAGAACATACTGAGATTATTCTTCCGGACTGGCGGTCTTAGCAAGTTACAGCCGCATGCTGAATTACAGTCGATGCCTAAGAAATTTTGCCATAGTGATACCAATGAGAGGGAGTGCATTCTCATAGTCTCATTATAACTGTATCTCACAGTGATTGAATACCCCACAGTGATGCACCAAGCAACTTGTTATTATTCATTATTATTATTTATTATTAGTATTTATTATCAGTACTTATTATCATTAATTTTTATTAATTATTATTATTTGTTATTTATTATTATTCATTATTTATTATTATTGTTATCATTATTATTATTATTGTTATTGTTATTATTATTGTTATTATTATTATTTTTATTATTATTATTACTATTATTATTATTATTATTATTATTATTATTATTATTATTGCTACTACTAATACTATTACTACTACCACCACCA